CCGACTCTCATGAGGAAAAAAAAACCCGTAATAAAACCCAGGCTCAGTGAAGGAAGTGTGTTATAGTTGTTGGCAAGTCAAATGTTTGTAGAGTAAATCCATATATGCTGCGCACTGCAGAGGCCTGTCATGCTATCTGACTTATCAACGAGTTATTGTTTCTGTAAATGTATGTTCTTCCTTAAGTGTAAGTGATCCTATAAGTAAAATATAAATATAACCCACTGGTAAAGTTGCCCTGAAGTGCAAATCACAACACACAACACTGATTTGATATGCTTGTGTGTTGTTGTGTTCTGTGATTTTCAGTTGTTTTTTCTTAATTACTGCTGTTCTCCGTTATGTTTTGTTGTTTCATTTATTTGCTGTTGTGTTTTGCACTTCAGGGCCACCGTGAGTTTATATTCAAGTATCGACGACTGCAAAAATAAACCTAAAAAAAAAACAGTCTCTTTAAATTCAACTGTGATTTCCAGTGACGTGACAGAAGGACGGAAACATGAAACAACAGCCAAACTGAAACAGAATGAAATAATGGGCTCGACACATTGTTGACCTTAGAAACTAGAAGCTGAAACAGTCTCAACTCAAGGTCCACTTACTTCCTTCTTGTGGAGCCCAATTACACAAACCCACACTGAGACGGCTCAGTTGCCATGGAAATGTAGATGTGGAAACTTTTTCGAGATTCTGAGCTCTTCTAAGACTTCTCATTCAAATCAGCGTTGATCTTGTTTGTTCATTCTCGACCTTGAAGTTATAATCGTGAAGATTTCAGCGGTGGTTGTTTTGATGATGCCGCTGGTCGGTAATAACGTGTGTGGATTAATACCTCACCAGACACCGAGTGAGCAGTTATGTCGGGAGAACAACAAAAGACGAGCTGGTGTTTTAAACATATTTTTATCAGTCAAACTACAATAAAGTTTAAACTGCGTTGCTGGAATACTCATGAGTCCTTCATGTACACACTAATTTACCCTAGGAATAGTAGACTTCCTCACTTATGATAAAGCTACAGAGCTTGTCTTTAAAAAAAATATCCATAAATAATGTCAATAATGATAAACAGTGTGTGAACAGGACCATCTTCAGCTCCAGCAACCGAACAAACCCAATGTTTTGAAAATGATTTTGTTCAGAACTCAGTTATTTTTTTTATCTTCCATGACCTATTTATTCTATAATATTGTATTTGTCTTTTTGAACCCGAAACATAACTTTGTTTTTTCTTTATTCATTTGTTGCAGATGTAGGTTCCGATTCTGTGGTTTGTCTTTGCTGCAAGATCGAACAACTGCAGGGACGACACATCTTATGATTGGGTCATGTTGCAGTCAGTCACCTGCTCCAAAACCTAACCACCCATCAGACGGTCACTGTGGACGCTTCAGCCATAATCTTTTTTTTTTACATTGAGAGGTGAGTCATTCAACTGTTTACAGCACCGATGATTCCAGATGTTTACTTTAGCCAAGTAGGTACCGTTTGAATTGACTTGAACTCCTGCACTTAAACTTTATAGACTCGATCCACTGTAACGGCAGCAGGGTTGTACCCCTGGTGCACTTTAACATGTCTTATTCAGACCACAGTGGACTCTGTGATGTGTAGTCTGAGCTGAAAGGCTGGACTGTAGCTCTGTTTTGAATTCAGCCTGGTTATGCTCACCTCCACTTTACAATGACCCGCGCTCCTGACGAGCCGCAGTGCTTCCAGACATCAATGTGACGCAATGAATAGATTTTTAATGTACACCTCCAGCATTCTTTACCCAAGGCAACAACTGTGTACACACCGCCTGGTTTTCGAACTCCACTAACAAGCTGCCGAGCTGCACCGCGGAGAAAACGGCTGCTTAAGTGAGAACAATTGATATTTGAGTTAGCAACGTGCTGAACGAGGGAAGCAGAAGAGCTGCTGTGTTGTGATCCTGAGCCAAAAGGAAAGCGATTTGTTCTTCAGTGGCATTACTCAGTGCGTTCATGCTATTAGTTGCTTTTAAGGAGATGATTATAAACTGTTAAATGTGAATATTTAGCCAAACAACACTATGTTTTCTTCTTCTACAATCATTCAGGATGACAAGATTTCGAACCATTTAATCTTTTGGAGGCAAACAAGTATTAAAGCTGTTTTTGAGAAGTCTTTCTTTTTTTTTTTTTTTTTTACCTCTTTTTCATTAGTGCACAGTCAACCCAGTCAATATTCTCTCTTATGTGTGTTTTGAGCTGGAACACATTTATTACTAAATGTATTTTTTTTTTTTAAATCTACATTCAGCATGGCTCAAGTGTTTCATGTATGTATCACAATATACATATATGTGTATAAAAAGATTCTTAAATATAAATACGTAAGACGAATAATTGGCAAACGTGAAGACAACTCTTAAGCTTTGTATGAGGTTTAGCTGTAGCCTGAGTATGTGGGAAGTGAATTGGGGGTAGAAACACACAGATGGATTTGATCTGCCTCACTTGGCTGTGAGAGTTGTTATTTTACATTAAAGCCCCAATGTTGGTTTAGTCGAGGAGAGGTGTTGATTGCAGAGCTGTGGTTCAAATCGACGAGAATGAGGAATGTGATTAAATCTGCACGAGAATGGGTTGAGACATTTGTTTACTCTGATTACATTAAAAAAAACTCTAAAAAAAAAAAACTGGCTTGAAATGTTTGTTTGAAAATGTCACACTTAATTGATTGTCACAGTTTAATTAATGTTGACAATTAACAGTTTTTTGGAAATGTGTTCGTAATAAAAGATGTTTGCTTTGGTTAATGCAAAAATGAAATTAGTGTACATGTAAACATACACAGATGTGTCTATTTGACTTTTTGCTGTTCGTTTAGTTATAAAGTGCACATTTCTTAAGGGAGAATGTTGATAAGTAACATTATGGATTAATTATGTTATGCATTAATTTACTTTTGTCATTCTAATTATATTTTCCAGCAGTAAAAATAATTTTCACATTGTTTCCCTGTGATACTATACAAATAGATGCATATCCACCACTGCATTATACAGTACTGCACTATCATTGATTTCACAGCTTGTTTTAATTCATTCTCTTCATGCTTTCGTTTAGTTTCTTATGAACTTTAGTTTTTTTTCTTCGTTTGCTTTGACATCAGACTTTCACTCGCCCTCCTGCATGTTAATCTCACTTTCTCTAATTGAACATGGTCTCTCCTTCCTGTGATTTGTCATTTGAAATGCGTTATGCAGCTAAAATTAAACGAGAAAGGCCGTAAAAAAAAAAACAACCTTCCAGCTGAGTGTTATAAATCTCTTTTGATTAGTCAGATTTCCTCATTAGACGTCAGAGCGCTGGATGTGTATGCAACAGATACTCTTTAGAAAAACTGAGCTTCTATGAAAACTTTTTTGTTGGAATGATTAACGTGCCATTGAGAGCAGGGTTGTCTTTAATCAGAGTCATTTTTATGGGAAGTTGTTTGGCTGCAGGTTTCCGAATTTACACACACATGTACAAAGTTTGTTCCTGATCCGTTTCATGGCTCCCTCATGCAATGTCCCCTACAGCGGTGCCAGCTCCATCATTGCCCTTTTAACGAGGTGATATTCAGACACATGGGAGCAGATGTTGCAAAGGAAAACACACTGTGACGTTATTGTGATCGATGCACCATATCCACTGCATAATTTGGCGGATGGCATCAGGATAACAACCCGCATTATGTGGAGACAGCTGTCGCCATGGCGCCCGGGCAGCCATCGCCGTGGCTCCCGCCTTATTTCAGGCACAGGCGGGGAAGCCAATTAGAGTGATTTACAGCTTCCCTCTGTCGTCACCACCTTGAATCCTGTGTCTCCGTCCAGCAGAGGAAAAGGATCTGCTGATGAGAGCACTGGAGTTGTTTACTGGTGAAATTTAAAGTAACTCTGCTTCGCTTGAACTGTGAACTTACTCTAAAAGTTAAATTACTTTACTTTTGTGAAAGGGAGAAAGTGCTTTCAAAAAAAAAAACCTGGATGATGAGAATGTACTGAATAAATATGTAATAGAAAATACTCCCACCCAAGAAAATGTATGTCTTCAGAGCATACAGTCTATGGTGTATATCTCATTCAGCCTTGAGTGCAATGTCAATGTGTTGGGATGTGTTTTAACATGATCTAACACCTTGGGGTCAATGTATATGAATCATTTCCCTGTTATATAGTTTTTATACTTTTTCATAGGCTATGCATAATGTTTTATAGCAGCAATCTCTCTGTTTATCTTTATTATTAGTGTAACCTAAGTTGTGCATACATGACTGTGTTGAACTTATCCCTGAATTCCTTTTAAACAAACACGTTACCAGTGAGTGTAGCGCTGTCTGAATTAAAATGTGAAAATGTGAATGATGCAAATGAGCTGCACCATCGTACTTTCTAAGGTTCCAATGTTCATGAAGGGATAAATCAGATACGGTATCTGATGTAATGCCGAGGCAGAATGAAACTGGGAGATGGCAAATACAGGAACAGGATTTGTGATCGACTGTCGCAGATGATCTCAGCTGCAGCTTTGAAGTGTAAAAAATAACGATTTAAATTTATTCGCACTTCCATCGACAACTTGAGAGGTCACAGGAGCGGCTCCTCTCGATGTGAATGAAAGGCGCCATCTAAACACTGACGCCTGCAGCTGTAAGGTTCACAGGAACAGGATATGGAATCAGAATGGCAGCGGTCCTTGAGGTGAGAAGGTGATTTGTTAGAATATGAGATTATATAAGATAATGCTCCATTTTATTCAAAATTGGAGATTTTGTGTTTGCATTTAAATTGTTTTGTTTGGTCAATGAATTAAATTTTATATATATATATATATATATTATTTATTCAATGTACATTTAATAATTTAAGTTATACACTACAAGTATTTGCATAAAAAATGGATGTGTATATCTCTACGGATAATTATATCTTTATTGTGTTTGGTTTATGAAATACAGTCAGAATCTTCCACACCAGCAGGTGGCGATGACGAAAGAGTCGAGGCTGGATTTAGCTTCCGTCCTCCAGAGGAAGTAGCCGTCGCTCGCCTGTGACGCAACACACCCGCGACGTTCAACTTCAGCAAGGGTCTCCAACAAGAGAACAAACAACCTCGCGGAGGAGAAAACGCGTCGTTCTGTTCAAAATGTTGAAAAGGAAATCGAGCGGCGGCGAGAAGAAGAGGAAACACTCGCAGTCTGAAGAGCGACACGACAACAATGGCCGCAGGAGCGCGGGAGCCAATGTGGAGGTGAGATAACCAAGCCAGCGTCATGCTAATCATGCAACATGTGAATACAGTTATTTACAAAGCTGCAAGACTTTTTCCACACGTAGTTTCTTTAAACATCAACGTGTGGCTGTTTCTTTATTTTATTTATCTGCGTTTTAGCTCTTTGAAGGAGATCATTTAGCCAAGGAGAAGCTAACAGGCGTCATTAACCTATAATGTGGAACAGCTGTGAAAACAAACCTCACGGCTGCTGGATCGTGACGTAACGAGACCCCATGTCTAATGTGTCTGCAGCATGTTACTGTGCAGGCACGAGCTGCGTGTGTGGTGTGAGTCCATCCAACTAGAGGAAGAACAACATGGATGTCCCCAGTTGTGTTTGTCTCTTCAGTCGTCAGTACAGAAAACAGATCCTCATTCATGTTACTGAAATATCTTAACTTCATTTATGTAGTACTTTAAACAGTACCTTCGATCCAAAGGGCTTACAACACAAAATAACAGTGAATTTATTAACGACACACAAATATTGTCTTTATTAATGTAACAACAACACTTTGAAAGGCTAATGAGTAAAGATGTTTTTACGTTTTAAAGATTTCTATTGAATGGGGGACAGGAGCTCTACCACCACAGCACCTTGAATCTACCTCTGTGTATGAGAGGTGCTGCATAAATAAAATTCACTTGTCTTACATAACATCAAAAAGCAACAACAAGATCTTAAGATGCACTGAGGTGGAATTAATCCAGTAACCTTACATTTACCAATGTTTTGATTTCAATTCATTGTCATTTCGGAGGCTGGAGTTTCTTGTGTTGTAAAATGTGATGAGGTTATATATACTGAAAGTTTATCCAAACTTCATCCACCATTTGTATCGATAAGGAAAAGCTAGATATCACAAACGCCTCTCAGTCTAACACAACATTTTACTCCAGTCAAGTAAACCAAAACTTCTGTTACTTAAGTTGTGACATTGACATGCAAGCAAAACAAGACAGTTGTGTAGGTAATATTTGTATTAATTATAACTGCAGAGAATATAATTTCAAGGTTTCAGTTCATATTTACATTGAATATTGATGCAGCAGTAACCTGTACATATGTTGTCAACTTGAAGAACTTGGTAATGTTTTCCCTCATTAAACTTCAACAGGTGATAATACTGAAATTAGTTCATTAAATGTGCATGTCCTGTATTAGGACTTGTCAATAGCATTTTGAATGAAACAAATCATGTCAAATAAAGCATTAAATATATTAATCCAAACACAGTCTTTGTAACTTGTTGTTTTGTTTTCTAAAGATGAAGTCCAAAGATGAATTTGCTGACCAAGAGCTGGACAGGATTGGCAGTGACATTGAGGAGGGGGGTCTGGACCTCAACCTTCCATTTCAACCCATCACTGCCTACGTGACCGACAAGAGTGAGATGCTACGGCAGTGTGTCCTCGTGCTGGCGGAGAAGAAGCTGCGGAAGATGCTGCCTGATGAGCTCAAGGTGAGGAAGTGATTTCAGAATATTAGTATGAAGAGAATAAAAATATCACTATTAAATAAAATGAATTTGCGTTGTATGAATGTTTTCTTATTTGTGTCAACCATATATTTCAAGTGACAACGAAATGATGCAACAACCAATGATGAAACCGCATTTGTCAACTAAAGCTCAGGGATGTATCATAACCAGCCTGACAAATGGATCATCATCATTTCAACGCAGACTTTCAGACATGTTTCGCTGTATTTTCACAGACATGTTGTTTGCGGCTTTATGGACCTGATTTCCTGCACTGACAGGTGCTGTCTTCCAAACTAATTTGTTGGCAGACATGTGACCAGCGTGGTCATAATTTTGCACAAAAATCCAACAGCTCCGCCTAAACACGTTATATTTCACAGGATTGTAATTTAGAGGAAATCAAAAAACTATGTTGGGAGCAACTGGAGCCGATCTCAGAGAGAAATCTTTTTCAAATCTTAGCAGGTAAGTCACTAATCTGTGGCACATTCCTGTTCTCGAATGTCTAAGATTAAAACAATACAGTGCTGCAAGCAAAGCATTTTCACTCACCTGAAGCTGTATATTGTGTCAAGGGGAAGAGCTGACATCTGGAAATGAGGATGAAAACACAGAGGAAACCGTGGAGAGCCAGTGAGTTCTCTAACTTACTAAATGAACAATTTAAACTTCAGAGTGAAAATCCAGTGTTCTTATCTGTATTATGACGTGTTTGTTTAATTTTTTCCCACTGAGGCAAGACAATAATGTAGACTCCACATCTTGCATCAAAGAAACAGTCAAAACTGAGGACCCAAAGCAAGGTAATTAATATTTAATCCATGGAAAGAACATCCCTCAGACACTCAATCAGAAAATTCAAAGTCAGAAAATGATTTAAAGGGACCATTGTATCATATTGTTTTTTTGAAATGTCTTGGTGTTTTTTTCTTTACAGAGGGGGGTGGCTCAGGTGAGGAGAGCGATGTCTTGAGTATAAATGCAGACACTTATGATAGTGACATTGAAGGACCCAAAGAGGAGCAGGCTGCCAAAGCTGTGAAGTTAGAGGAAAGCAGTCAGGATGCAGCTGACCCCCCTGTAAACCCTGACCCAGCTGATCCTCCCGATCCTCCTCCCGCTGACTCCCAACCAGCCGAAGCAAAGAAGGACATTCAAAGAGACATAGATAAAAGCGTCAGTGAGATTTTAGCGATTTCATCCCCTTCAAGTAAAGAGGTAGCTAAAGAGGAGAGCGCACCACCGCAGCCTGCAGACGTCAGCCCACCCGTTCAAGGCAGACCTGTTTCAAGTGGCGCACCTGCCGCTAGTCAGCCGTCCATTCAACAGCTGGAGCTTCTGGAGCTGGAAATGAGGGCGAGAGCCATCAAGGCCCTGATGAAAGCCAGCGATGGGAAGAAGGTTTCTTCTGTGAAAAATGTCTAACATGGTTCCCCCTTATGTTTTTTTTGTTTCTATGGTTTCACTGCACTTTGAAAAACAAAGTTTGCAGATGCTGAATTTAGTTTAGTTTTTTTAAACTAGATTTTTCTTTTTTATTAGTGTTCTAAATGTTACATTGATGCCATGTTTGCATTATTACTCCATATTGGACTGGTGTGACAAACTGGTTGATACCAAATTAAACACAAAGAGCTGTTTTATTTCTGCTCTACTCTCAGTGACTTGTAAAATCTATTAATCCATCCACTATCTATAGCATTTATATATTATATTCAGCCTGCACTGGGCGAGAAGCGGTTTACTCCCTGCGCAGATTGCTGAACATATTAACAATATCAAATGCTTTTTTCCCCTAGGTCACTAGATGGCAGTATTACTCTGCTGCAGTAAATCTAGGGGACAGCACGAGATATTATTCATTAACTTTCATTATAGTAAAAATCATCATGAGCAGCATAAAAGTCACGTTTCCAACTAATGATATTATATAGTAATTAATTAATCCAGCAAAGATTTTCTCTGCAATAGCTAAAATTATCTTTGAGCAAGTTTTAGAGGAAGTGAGCATTATATTTATATGTTGTTTTATATGTAAGACCATGTGTTTTTATTTATTATTTAAAGCAGTGGCTGGTTTTACTGTTGTGGCTGCAGGCTGAGCCTTAAAGCCAGAACAGGTGGCAGCAGTGTTGTGCTGCTGTTTAGACAGTATTTCTTCATTGAACACCTGTTTGACTTGTCAGGCTGGACCTTGCAGAAGAAAGCCAGGCACTGCTATAACTTTTTATATTTGCATCGTCTAACGTCTCAGTTATAGCACAACTTTTAGATGTATCTGTTGCCTTACAGATATCTGCCACTTCACTTAAATAACTTTTGAATTATTCGTTCCATACCTCCATATAGCAGCGAGAACTAATAACGTCTGTTTACCTAATAATGTTGTGTGCGTGCAATTACATGCAGATGCGAAGCAAAATAGCTCCCCACCCCACTACCCTAAAGGAGAGAATGAAATGTATGATAAGAGGCCTCCTGGGTATTTGCATTTAAAAGGGTTGTTTCATGGGAGAAGTGAGGGTGCGGAGGGTTAAATGCATCTTTCTGTATGCATTTATGTGCAGTTATCTTTCTGCTCCTTGATGAATTCAAAAGAATAACGTCCACTTTGGTAAAAAGGGATACAACTCTTCTTAAGTGCTTGTGGTGTCGGTGATTGCCGAGTATGTATCAGTCATTTTACCGATATAAGAATGCCAATTATTATTTAGCACGAGCAGATAAATGGCTTTTTAAAGCAGAGCTCATAATGATTAGGCTGACAAATGGATTGATGGAAGTGAGGTGAAACTTGAAGGAGCACTTTTGTGAATTTAAATGAACTTGAACCGTGTTAAAATATTGAGGCACGTTGCTTCTATGAATGATGCTATTATCAAAGTCAAAGATGGGGTCGTGCAAAAAAGTTCTTGTGCCCACAGATTTAATCTGTTTAATAGCCACACTTTCCCTCAGTGCTGTGACACTGGTTAGTGATGTTCATGAGGGGTTCTGTTCTAGAGCGGGTTATTAACTCAACTTTATGGTCGACTTTTACTGCGTAACAGTCTCAGAAAGTTGACAAATAAACATTGCAGGAGTGGACTTCAGTCCAGACTTGATGCAAATACAAAATCACAAACAATAAACTCTGAGTGCACAACGCTGCAAATGTCCTCAACAGAAATGTGCAGCAAAAAAAAGTCTCACAGAGGACAGCAGATTTTAGATTGAGCAATTTAAGTGAGTTGTAATGCATAATACAATTTTATGTGTACGCTTTGGTCAAGCTTAGTCATAGTCAATTTTCTGCTGCTTATTCGGGGTGGGGTCATGACGTCAGCACATAAAGAAGAGAAATCCAGATGTCCTTCTTCCCAGCTCTGCTAGGGAGACCCCTAGATGTTCCCATCCAGATGAGAGCTCCTGCGTGTTCTGGTTCTATGCCAGGGCCTCCTGCCAGTCGGAGGTGCCCAGAAGACTTCCGATGGAAGGTCCCCTGGTGGTATCGAATCCTTGGACCCTGTCAGCCGTCCCACTTCAATCGCATTCCAACCTGATGTCAGTCCCTACAGATGATGGACCCACAAGATGGTGGCTGTAAGTTTTTGTCCCAGAGAACGCAGCTCCCACCATCACTGAGGCATAAAAACTCCTCCACCAAGATAAAGTGGTGATTCTCAGAGGGACCACAGCCCCCCCCCACACAAGTGTTTTCACTTTCACATTACCTAACCAGTGCTGATTGACTGTTGCACCTAGTTATCACTCTTCCTGCATAGTTTGGTTAAAACACACATAGTACTTAATGTACCTTGCACCTGACTAGTGGTATACTGTGAACTGTGAAAACTGAGTCTACACAGCCTATAGTATAAACTGCAATCGTCAAGTATTTGTAATGAATTAAAAAATATATTACTTCTCCTTGAAATGTATTGTAGAAGTAAAAAAAACCCAGCATAACTTAGAAATAGTCAATTAAAGTACAACTAGCTTACCTCAAAGTTGTCCCTAACTACTTTATTTGAGTAAATTAACTTATGCTACAGTAACAGTCTCCTGACACATTGATCAACTTGTCAAATATGTGGTTTGGCAGAGGACATACTTCAGTCCAATAAAATGAGGGAGAAGGATTCAAAAGAAAGAAATGTTTTGCTGTTAGATAGAAAAGCTATACTGAGTTTGCTGTTTCTTTATTTTTCCTCCCTCATGTTTTTCTTCGGGTGCCCATTTCTCTTTGTGTCTTGATACCCACAATGCTTTTGTTCAGGTATGTTTTAGTGCAGTATTTTTTTGGATGTTTTTCCTTCATGTTTGTACTTTTATTGATTTTTCATTGAAATCATCAACAATGGAAGCACAAGCATGTTTGTGAAACTCTCGATGTGACCCTGTTACCACAGGGAAAACCATCCGAGGACAAACAGGAATCGAACATCATGTGTTTTTTTAGAACACATCATGTTTGCATAAATAAATTAATCCCCTTCAAATTCCTCCTGACTTGCCTGTGTTCTCTCTGCAGCGAGAAATTAAATTGAACTAACAACTCGTGCTGACAGGCAATAAATAACTCAGCACCTCTGTAAGGCTAAATTAATTGATTTCCTCCAGCAATGACTCATTGGACACATTTCAGACTTTATTTTTTCTCAACGAAGTAAGAGAGATGTTTAATGTTGGATGTGCTCTGTTTTGATTAAATGTCCAATTCTGTGTTAATGCTAATTACGCTTGCATTGGCAATAATCCTGATTGCCATCTCAAAGGGTGGAGAAGCATATAAATGTGCTGTTTATTTAAATATAGAGATTACTCCAGAAATGGTGGCTAATAATAACTCCTTCATGAATCTGTGTTCATTACCGGCCCTGATGTTTCAGACTTTCTGGACTGGATGTCGTGTATAATTTGAATGGTGGCTCAGTGTAGGGCATAATGGATCCTTCTGTTCCCCGTTGAATCCGCTGTCACTGAATGCAGACGAATGACGGTTGTTGGAGCCTCGTGGCAGGTGTGCAGCACATCTGTTCACCGTTCGCTTCCTCTGCGTTGCGTAAATGATTGGCTTCTTCTCAAAGTGGTATGAGCTTGGCAGAACCCTTTTTGAAAAATGTGAAGTGGGTTATAGCAAGTTTGCTGCTTTTTGAGAGAGAAGAGCTTCCTTTTGTTTTTCAGTTTCACTCCAAAAATCTGTGAGAGAGATTTGAACATTTGATATTCCACTCCAGTGTAGTATCTGCATTTGGATAGAATTCCTCCCCTCCACTGACTCCTCTGACATCTGACTTTCAGATTCCATGCATGCTCACTCCACATGGGCTTCTCCCCCCCCCAACTTCGGGGCCTGCATTCAAATGGTGCATTAATACCATCAAACAACCATTGAAATTCTGGCGAGTAAACCCAGCAAGCCAATAAAGACAAAATGCTTTTGAAGGATACAGAGAGACGGCAGGCAGGACGGATGACCTCGCACAATCAAATCAGCATAATCAAATGAAATACCACAATATTACATCAAAGCCAACCCTCATCGCTACGGCGACATGATCAACAAGCTCTATCCTTAGGGTCTCTGTGCTTTCTCACAGATATACTGGGATTGATGGGCCTTGAGATAAATATATTTTCCATCTAATGGAGAAGGTTCAGTGCATCTGTAATGTTGCGTGGGTTTTAAATGTTCATGGAATCCATGGTTAATCTTCAATCAGTAAACATGAGTGATTCCCACTGAAATGATTATGCAGACTGCAACCATAATCTATGATAGTACACAGATGTAGCAGCCCTTTGAGAATTTAGGGCGATAGCACCCTGAAGCAATAATTAATACAAAAACTCCCCAAAAAAGATCTTTCATGTCGACACAAAACTCAAAGAAACGTTACTAAAATCATAGAAAACATTGCTCAGCCAACTTCCACTTATTATTTCCTGTTTCCTTTTGTCCCATGTTTGGGGTGTTAGCGAGCATTGTCCCTGTGATACCCTAACATCTCGTACATATACATGTTATATATGAGTTAACCTCAGTATATTGGTGACTTCAAAATGTGGAAGAACCTACAAGATACTTTTTAATGTGACATTCCCCCAATGAAAGTATGGCCTCATATTTGGGGAATATACCTCAAGCATGGCTGAAAAGGGATAAATATGAAATCAATGTTATGCTGACAGCCACTAAAAATAGAATTGATTATCCCATAGAAGAGTCTAACTGTAACAATAGACAATTTTACAATTGGTGACAGTATATTTTGCAGTTGCTTTTACACTGAAAAAATGTTTGGCTAATGTTGTTAACATACAAATTAATTATTTCAAAGTAAAATTATGTGATTGTGTATATTTACATGCATTTATTGGTTAGCTAAACAGTACTTGAAGGCAATGTTAGTTTGATATTGAACATTAATAAGCAATAAATCACAAAAAGCAGAAATTATAGGAAAGTGCTCTATTTCCACTTTCTCTAAACTAACCACACTTTCTGTGATGCTAAGCTATAACCAGCTGCATTGTTATAGTCCCAGCTGTCCTATGAGCAGTGTCCCCCAGACAGATGATGCATCACTGCACGCAGCCCTGGTAACTCACACTTTTATGATGCTCGGTGAAGATGACACCGTTTGCGCTGGGTTTGGAAGACATTGAACTGTCAAA